GGCCGGGCCGGAGACGGGGGTGGCACCGGCGGCGGCCTGTGGGGAGGGAGGGGGATGGAGCGGCTCCGCAAGCTGTGGAGGGGCCGCACGATGACCTTCGGGGTCCCCCTGTTGGTGAGCAGCGCGGGGAGGCGGGGGGGAACACCGGGAGGTGGATTCATGCTGGCGGGGAGGAGGGAGAGGGAGGGGTTTGTGAGGTGGTGCCTCCGTGGGGGACCCCGGTGTGTGGCCGGAGGGGACACAGCTGAGGGGAGGTGAAGGAGGGAGCAGCCCCCAGGGTCAGCGGCGGCCTCTGGAGGACAGGGAGAGGGCTGCGAAGCATATTCTTAAAGCTGTTCCTAACTAAAAGGTGAGGAAAATGCGTCTTAGTGGCTTTTTTTCCTTTCTTTAAGCACCACTTATGTGTTTTTCAGACTTTCTTTAGCTTTTCAGTGGATTTTAAACCGCAACGGCAGTGTTGGTCTGAGAATTTGTACATCTAAATTGGTGGAATTTGAGTTTAATGAGGCAATAGGTTATAGTTACGGTTGTGCTTGAAGTGATAGGTGAGGCATAGCTGTTTAGAGTGGTCGAGTTTAGAAAATAGCTCAATAAACTCAAAGGAATAAAACAAAATTGCAGAACAGACAGCGTAACAGATTGCACTTGCCCATCAAGTACCTGTGCACATTAGAGGAAAAATTAATTCGAGTGTACTTATGGATAAAAACTCAGGAAAGAAGACAAAATCAGCAGCCAGAACGGTGTGATTTCTTTTTAGGCAATTCATGTCTCATTTTCCATGTTTACATTTGGGTTTAGGTAAAATAAGCAAGTTTGTAGGTGGATAAACAGTAGGGCAAAGGATAATTCCAACGTTTTTACGATACTGCTAAAGAAATTAGTGTTATCCTCCTCATATCTTCAGCATTGTGCCTCAGAAACATGGAGTGGTCCAAAGGACAGTGACACTTGTTAAGAGTTAGAAGAGTTTAAGGCCATGTATTTTAAAGTAACAATACAGAGGACTTTAAGTGCAAATATTCATGCAGTTGAATACACTGAAGTATCTTTAATCAAAATATTGATGAAGACATTTGTAAGTTGAAATTAGATTTTAAAAAAACCAAACAAACCAACAAACTGGTGTGATAATATCACAACTGTATGTGTCACTGTCCTGAGTTGAGTGACACAAGACTAACTTCTCTTCTAATGCTTGGGAAAACTGCACTTTTAGAGGACTCTAGTGTCTGAATTAATGAAAAAAATTACTTTATAGCCAGCTAGGCTATGTGGGCTTCAAGATCTCCATGTTTTCGAGCCTTGCCAGGTGCAGGGATGAGGACTGGGGCCTGGGCACTTGACTCAGGCTGGCCAACAGGATTATTTCATACCACGAATGTCACACTCATTATAAATTAGAAAGTTTGCTGTGTAGTTCTCTCTCTCCCTTGACGACAGTGGTCGGTAGAACTCCTTGCCCAGTGCCAGACCCCTGAGCCCTTCCCTACCTCCTGAAGCCATACAGCTCCCAGTGTCCCACATTTGCTGTTCCCTGCTTGGAGTGCACAGCCTCCTGCTGAGAGAATGGACTGTGTGTAATTCTTGTGTATCTTATACTGACATTGGGATTGATACTGATTCTTTAGTATTATTGTTAGTTATTTAGTCTTATCCTATTAAATCTAATTGTCTTTCAACCTTAGTGTTTCCTTGCTTTCCCTGATTCCTCTTCCCAGGAGGGAGGGGTCATTGGGTGATAGAATAATTGTCTAAACAATGCTAAATTGGTATGGGTTTTCTCAGACCGTAACAGTCATTTGCATCAGCAGCTCTGCTCCCTGATATCACGGACAATCTGCTCGTGTAACACTTTTCATTAAGTGATCAAGCATAGCATTAGGGCTGTTTACATATCCTGCTGCGTGCATGTATAGCTAAAAGGCTGTCCAGAATTTTGCTGCTCTCATGCTTAGACTGATTTTATTTTGCTTCCTAATTTTTCGTGTTATTTTTGAGTGCTCTGACATTATTATTTAGCTTAATAACACTTTTCTTAGATTTTTAACGTTGCATGTAGATTTAGGTCACAGTCCTATTATTTATGTAATTATGTGAGGTTTGCAACTTCCCTTTCAAAATGAGGGGGACCCAGGAAGTGTAGTACTCTTCAGCTCAATTTTAACTCCATAAAAAGTTTGGTAAAAATGTTAAGTAATTATAGATACTTGTGGATGGATGTCAGATGGCTGGATGCCAGGTGCCCACCAAAGCTGCTCTTTCACTCCCCTCCTCAGCTGGTCAGGGGAGAGAAAAAATAACAAAGGGCTTGTGAGTTGAGACAAGGAAGGGCGATCACTCAGCAATTACTGTCGTGGGGAAAACAGACTTGATTTGGGGAAAGTTAATTTAATTTATTACCAGTCAAATCAGAGGAAGATAATGAGAAATAAACCCCAGATTTTAAAACACTTTTTCCCCACCCCTCCCTCTTCCAGGGCTCAGCTTCACTCCCAGTTTTTCTCTACCTTCTCCTCCTGAGTGGTGCAGGAGGATGGGGAATGGGGGTTGTGGTCAGTTCATCACATGTTGTCTCTGCCGTTCTTTTCCTCCTCAGGGGCAGGACTCCTCACACTCTTCCCTTGCTCTGGCGTGGGGTCCTTCCCACAGGAGAAAGTTCTCCAGAAACTTCTCCAATGTGAATCCCTCCCATGGGCCCCGTCACTGACTGCTCCAGCGTGGGTCCCTCATGGGAGCACAGGTCCTGCCAGGAGCCTGCTCCAGTGCGGGCTTCCCACGCAGGGTCACAGCCTCCCTTGGGCATCCACCTGCTCCAGTGTGGGCTGCTCCAGGGTTAACCTCCATGGGTCACAGGGGGACAGCCTGCCTCACCATGGTCTTCACCACGGGCTGCAGGGAGATCTCTGCTCTGGCACCTGCACACCTCCTGCCCCTCCTTCTTCACTGACCTGGGTGTCTGCAGAGTTGTTGCGTTCACATATTCTCACTCCTCTCTCCAGCTGCAATTGCTGTTGCACAGTAACTTTTCCCCTTTTTTATGTATGTTATTGCAGAGGTGTCACCACTGTCACTGATGGGCTTGGCCTTGGCTAACAGTGGATCCCTCTTGGAGCCAGCTGGCATTGGCTCTGTCAAAATGAGAGAAACTTGTAGCAGCTTCTCACAGAAGCCACCCCTGTAGCTTCTGCACTACCAAAACCTGGCCACGCAAAGCCAATACAGTACTTAGAGGTGGTGACCTGGTGGAGAAAAAAGTCACCATAGCTTTTAAATCATAAATATATCAGATTTGATAGGCTAACTGGTATAGTAGGTGAGGAGATGCAACTGATACACAAGATCTTGACTTTGATAAAGCTTTCTACATTACCTTCTAACAATTCTAATGTTAGAATTGTACATTAGAGAAAGCATGGCAAAGGTATTCTTCTTATTGTTTATGTTCTCAAAGGTTTGAGAAAATACTATAAAATGTAATTATCAGATGCCTTCCATATTGAAAGATATCTTAGATGGTGTGGGTCCTGCAGAAATAAGTAGACTGTAATGTTGTGAAAAACCAGAAATGTCAGTATAAGACACAGAAACTGGTCAAAAGTAAAGTAAAACATGGAAGAGGACTCTTCCAGTCTACTTAAAGTCCTCAGCTGGAGTAATTCTCCAGCCAAAGTAGAGATGGTGAAGACAAACTGTAAAGCCTAGAGGAAAGCAACATAAAAGACACAGCAGACATTCCACTGTTAAGGAATGCTTAAAGGAATTGACGTAGTTTATTTTTGAAAAGTCTGAGAAGTTCTGTACATCATATATTGAGAGTGGCGATTGCTTTTCATAATTTGGGAAAGAAGTACCAAAATAAATGAGCTTTAGATCAGATGTTAGGAAAATACTACTTTTTGTTAGGATAGGGCAGTCCTGAGACATACTTAGTGTTTTTAAGGAGAGGTTAAACAACCGTCTGACAGCAATGGTGGAGATTTTCTCAGTGCTGGAGGGAGGACTTCGGCTTCCCAGGCCAAAGTAGAGCTGTCATTGTCCTATTGGCCTTCCTAGTGTTTTTCATGATTTGTCATAGAAATTTCTGAAATGGGTTTCTTTGACTTTGCATTGCCTAATTTCATTCCATTTCTCTTAACTGCAGAGCTCTTTCCTCTAGAGACAATGTTATATAGAGGAATATTCTATCATGTTTCTTTCCAGGGTTTCATGTATCCCTGTCTTAAAATGATTCTCCCCTGTGAGTACTTCAGAATGTTTCTGTGTTGCTGCCCAAAGGCTTCCCTAGGAGTAACAAAAAAGAAGATTCATGCAATTCTTGACAGTTCCCCAGCTGTCTATTGAATTCTGAAAGCATCTCTGAAGCTGAACAGAATTGTGCTAAAAGATCAATTACAGCAAAAAAGACACTGAATCTATTGACAGAATCAGGAGGAGCATGCCTTAGTAAGCCTTTAAATTCTGCTAAATTTGTTGATAATACTGAAACTAAAGGTTTTTGTTTCGTTCTTGCATCCTGTACATTTTTTCATTAGACAAGTAAAGGACTTCATTCTTCAATACTGCTGGACTTTTTCCATCTCTACCACATTTGCTTTTTTATTAAAAAAAAAAATCAAATGGCTTTTCTATCTTCCCTTCTTACACTGCATATTTGAATAAAAAATCCCCATGCCCCTTTTTTTAAAGATTCCAAGGTTAAGGAGATGATAATTCAAAGACAGGTGAGTGTCTCATTATATACATGCACACACACACACACACATATATATAAAATATTTCTTAGTTTCTAGTGTAAATTATCTTGATATTTTTTTCTTTATTCTTTTGGGTTTGGGGCTGTTAGAAGATTTCAGTGCAGAAGGAATTTTCTTGGTTGATCTTTAAACCTCAAACTGATAACAGCTTTCACAGTAAGATGTGTAAAACAGTTTTCAGTCATACTTTCTCAGAAGGTAAGAGTGTTTCTTTGAGCACCAACACGAGTGTAGGGGGTAGGAATTAAACCTGCAGGAAACCTTGATTTGTGAATTACTGTAAACTTTGCAGATTAAGATTCCTCTGCATGGCATAAAAGAGTAAGCGTGCAGGAGAGAGTGATGTAACCTGGCACG